AGAGGACTACTGTATAGTTAATAATGTTGTACTGAATACTGGAAATTTTCTAAGAGAAGAGATTTCAGGTGTTCTCACCACACACACAAAACAGCAGTAACTGTGTGAGGGGACAGATATATTAATGTGCTTAACTGCAATAATCATTTCACTATGTGTCTGTACATCAAAACATGTTGTAAATGTGTTTATTAAAAATACACAATTTTTATTAAAAATTAATAAATCATAGAGCTGGATTTTGAACCTAGAAGTCTGACTCTAGAGAGACCATTTAATCAAGATGCTGTAAGAAGTTAATAGGACTTAATCAGCATTGATTTAGCAGCGTGTCTAAGACATTTACTGGAAAGCAGGTGGAGAACACAAATAAACAAATAGAAAACACATAGGACACTGTCACTGGGCTCATGGAGTTAAGACCAGTGAAAAGACGATTTGGAATAAAAGAGTGTAAATTTATTTGTTTATTGTTTCTCTCCCTTCTCCCTGACCCTCTACTCCATACTCACACAAGCTCTGGATGGCAGGTCTTGGCCTGTTTGACCGGCCATGGTGTCTGCAGTGCCTAGAACGGTGCCCAGCTCACAGCAATTCTCAGTAAAATCTGTAGAGTGGGTGAGGAATGACTGAGTGGCATGGACCATGCACACTGAAGGGACGGGGAGAGCAGAGACGGCTCCATGATGGTTGTGCCCACCTTACGTCTCCTAAGTACATCCGTGGGCACTACTTCCCCTGTTCCCTCCACCACTGCAATGGGTCAGACAGGAAGGAGTTCCAGGTTTTCAGGAACATAAAGAGCTGGGTGAATAATAATGATAGTTGCCATTCATTGAACACCCACCCTGTACCAGGCATCATACTGTTTACACGAGCTCTCTAACTTGCTTATGGAATCAGTACATTAGAACCAGAGAAACACTTGAAGATCGCCCATCAAGCCCAAACCTCGATTTTGCACAAGAGAAAATGAATGGCAGAAATGAAGTAAAAATTCGATTCTCCTCCCTCCTATGCTCCTCACAATTCATTGGAATCTCTGAAAGGGAAGAAAAATACTCCCATGCTGGGTGCAGTGGTTCATGCCTACAATCCCAGCACTTTGGGAGACCAAGGTGGGAGGCTCGCTTGAAGCCAGGAGTTTGAGACCAGCCTGGGCAACATAGCAAGATCCTATCTATATGAAAAAATTAAAAATTAACCCAGCATGGTGGTGCACACCTGTAGTCCTAGCTGCTCAGGAGGCTGCAGGTGACCAGCAACTGCAGTCCAGCCTGGGCCACAGAGTGAGCTCCTGTCTCAAAAGACAACAAAAAGAAAAATGCTCCTGACATTCCCACCACCTATTCCCACTCAGCAATCCCACCATCCTACCACCAACCCCCTGTCCCATCACCACTTATACGCAGATATACGTACACACACACACACAGTGGAAAGGCTGGCTGGGATTCAAAGATGAGGAGCATGTTGGGTTCTCTGCAGGTTTCCTCACCTCTTTCTTTAGCTCGTGTCCCAACTCAGCATATCTGGTATCCAGGAAAATACTTTCCTTTCTTCCTTAAAGAGGGAAACTGAAATCAAGGATTAAAAAAAAAAAAAAAAAAAAAAAAAAAAAAAAAAAAAACAGAAATCAAGCTCACAGGACAAAACTGAGCTTTGGCAATCATTTATGATTTTCTCTAAAAACAATGAAGTGTGGTAGAAAGACCATGAACCCAGAACTCTACTACTGTAGTCTGTGACCATAAGCTAATCACTTAACCTCTCTAAGCCTCAACTACCCATCTTTTTTTTGTTTTGTTTTTTGTTTTTTGAGATGGAGTTTCACCCTTGTTGCCCGGGCTGGAGTGCAATAGCGTGGTATCGGCTCATGACAGCCTCCGCCTACTGGGTTAAAGCGATTTTCCTGCCTCAGCCTCCCAAGTAGCTGGGATTATAGGCATGTGCCACAATGCCCAGCTAATTTTATATTTTTAGTAGAGATGAGTTTTCTCCATGTTGGTCAGGCTGGTCTCAAACTCCCTACCTCAGGTGATCCGCCCACTTTGGCCTCCCAAAGTGCTGGGATTACAGGTGTAAGCCACCACGGCCAGCCTCCAACTGTTTTAAAAAACACTTTTTGTAAAAAATAAATAAAGATTTTTTTTTGGTAACAAATTCCATGAATACATGTTAACTAGGGGTCTAGTTTAGATTGCTGAAAAGCATAAATTACAGAATATCCTAAAAGGCATTGACATCTTCTTACTCTTCATGATAACATGATAATAACAGACGATACTATTTTGTTGTTGTTGTTGTTGAGACGGAGTCTTGCTCTGTCACCCAGGCTAGACTGCAGTGGCACAATCTCGTCTCACTGCAACCTCCACCTCCCAAGTTCAAGAGATTCTCCTGTCTCAGCCTCCCGAGCAGCTGGGATTACAGGCAACTGCCACCATGCCCAGCTAATTTTTGTATTTTTAGTACAGGTGGGGTTTTATCACATTGGCCAGGCTGTTCTTGAACTCCTGACTTCGTGATCCACCCACCTCGGCCTCCCAAAGTGCTGGGATTACAGGCGAGAGCCACAGCACCTAGCAATAGCCAATGTTATTAAGTAGTTTCACATGTGTTAGGAGTTGCACTGAGAGCTTTGCAAGCATAAGGACATTTATAGGGACTTAATTATCTGGACAGCTGTATGAGGGACTATTATTATTATCACTGATTTATAGGTAAGAAAACTGAGACCAGAGAGATTATTAATAACTTGCCTTAGGCCACCTGGCCAATAAACAGGAGAAACTGCCAAGTCTCTGTTCTTAACCCACTGCCTTTTCCAGAGACTCTCCCATGTTTGGTAACTTACCTTAGACCTAAAGAGGCTTTGTAATGGAAACAATTGGTAAAACATTTTTGTGTGGATGGATGAACATTTCTAAAGTGCTTGCAATCTGTTTCTTTAAATGAGATGGCCATACTTTCCAAAACTGTTTCCATTTTTAATTGATTGAGCTGTAAGGAGGGCATGACAGGATTGTTGTGAAGAACTTGGAACAAGGCTAGGCGAAGTGGCTGTAATCCCATCACTTTGGGAGGCCGAGGCGGGCAGATCACCTGAGGTCAGGAGTTCGAGACCAGTCTGGCCAGCATGGTGAAACCCCGTCTCTACTAAAAATACAAAAATTAGCCAGGCATGGTGGTGGACACCTGTAATGCCAGCTACTCGGGAGACAGGAGAATTGCTTGAACCTGGGAGGGGGAGGTTACAGTGAGCCAAGATCTCGCCACTGCACTTCAGCCTGAACAACAGAGCAAGACTCTGTCTCAAAAAAAAAAAAAAAAAAAAAAAGAGCTTAGAACAGCATCTGGAACCCAAAAGGCCTTAATAACTGTTAACTGCCTTATTGATGTGATTCACTGGACAGAGCTTGAGCACGGTCATCAGAAACACCTGCCCTCAAATCCCACTTATCAGCTGCGTGACCTTGAAGATGTTAATTATCTGTTCTGAGGCTTAGTTTCCTCATGGGTCAAATGAGAATAATAGACACTGCCTCAAAGTCATCACGAGGAAGAAATGTGACAGTCTTCCTATTCTGGGTGGTTCAGTCACTCCCAACCACCACGTTACAAGTGTGAGAGTAGCTAACAGAAAATGATCTCAGCAGAGGGTTACATTTTCTTTATTTTGCTTTTGTCACTCTCAATAAACATTTTTCTCTTAAAAAAATTCTAAAGCCAATTTGAGCCTAGCCCAGGCAAAATTGTCGCTAATTCCGAACTACTGAAATAGGAATTGATGAATATTTACTGTATCCAATTCTTGGGAATGGAGTAAGGACCCCCACTCTAATCCAGAAGTTCCACATGGGTTCAGTTTCAAGGGTACTCCCAGCCACTCCCAACCTTTAATGTTGGGCAGTACTTAATGGACAGAGCACTGAAGTGGTTCTGATCCCAACTCTGTCATTCATTTGCTGTGAGTTCTTAGCAAGTTACTCCTGTTCACTGGGCCTTGGTTTCCTCTTGTGCAACTGAAGAACATGGAAAAAATGATCCTTAAAGTCCTTTGAAGCTTTCATATTCTGTAACTTTTGTGCCCAAGAAGGCCTTACAGTGAGATGGGGTCCCAGTATTTATTGAGTTTCCTCATTCATAAAACAAGAATAATGGTAAATGAGTTGACACGCACTAAGCCGGTAGAATAGCGGCGGCCACAGATAGGCCCTCAGTAAATGCTAGCCAATAATGGTACAATATGCTGGAAGAGATCTTTCTCTCTCTCTCTGCTTCTCAACAAGCCTATAATCAGTTATTCCACTGTATAAACAAGGACATAGAACTCAAAGATATTAAGCAATTTTCCCAAAGATTGCTTAGCAAATGAATGGGAGAGATCCTACGGCCAGGATGAAAACAAGAAACTCCCACAAGAGGACTCCAACTCACATCTGGTGAACAGATCCCCCAACGCCCAGCTCAGATCAACTGCCACGCCACGATTTATAGTATGAGTGTGCTCACCTCCTTTGGGGACTGTATGTCCAGAGGACTCACCTCAATAAAATACCTTATAAATAACATCCTTCCATGGATGAGGGAAAGGCGATAAGATCTGTAATGAATAAGCAAGAACTCTGAAGGCAATCAAATAAAGACTCAATGACTTACGCTCCTATCCTATCCTAACTGCCCCTCCTTCTTGTCCCCAAGGAAGCAGCTTCCTGCTCTCCGACGAGGACTCCTTCCTTGGAATGTAAAGCCGAGGATGTCAGCAGAGAAACCATTTCCCACTACTGGTGCTTGGCCAAAGCGGTAACTGCTAAGTTCACTCTAGATGGGAGAGCAGTGATGGGGAGACAGCAACTCAAATTTCCGGAGGCTATTTCAGTTTTCTTTTCTGTTTTGTGCAATTTCACTTATGATACCAGCCAATGCTTGGTTGCTATTTTGGAAACTCCCCTTAGGGGGTGCCCTTCAATTGGCCCCAACTCCTATAAAGGGCCAGCCTGAGCTTCAGAGGATCCCTGTAGAGAATCCTGAGACAGCACGTGGACCTCCCACAGCCTCTCCCACAGGTACCATGAAGGTCTCCGTGGCTGCCCTCGCTGTGATCCTGGTTGCTACCACCCTCTGCGCTCCTGCATCTGCCACCCCATGTAAGTCCTGGTCTTGACTACCACAGCCCCTGGAGTCAGACCCTCCGCCTAGAATGCCCACCCCAGACCTTGTCCTCTTTTCAACTGTAATACGAATACTGTCTGAACCCCATTATTTCTGTTCTTCTGGATTGTCTTACCCAGATGTCCAGTTGTCCTTGAGGCTCTCTAAACTGCTTCATAGCAGGCATCTCCTGAGCAGCTTTCCCCAAGGCCCGTAGGTGTTTACTGAGTGTGGACTGGTGTTGGGAAGATTAGCAGTCATGAGTGGCTCACACTGATCTTGAAACACGACTGACTCGTGCCTGTCAGCAGCAGGGTTTCTAAGAAATGTAACTAAACTATAACTTCCTGAGACTCTGAGACAGTCATATTCTCTCTTATTTCATAAATGTAAAAAAAAAAAATGGGTTTATGAGAGGATACATGGCTTTATTGGAAGTGAATACCTTTTTTTTTCTTTTTTTTTTTTGAGACAGAGTTTCACTCTTGTTGCCCAGGCTGGAGTGCAATGGTGCGATCTCGGTTCACTGCAACCTCCGCCTCCTGGGTTCAAGAGATTCTTCTGCCTCAGCCTCCCAAGTAGCTGCGATTACAGGCACGCACCACCATGCTGGGCTAATTTTTGTATTTTTAGTAGAGATGCGGTTTCTCCATGTTGGCCAGGCTGGTCTCCAACTCCCGACCTCAGGTGATCTGCCTGCCTCGGCCTCCCAAAGTGCTGGGATTACAGGTGTGAGCCACTGTGCCTGGCCAACATTTAAAAAATAAATAAAAACAAAGAGAGGATAAGAAAAGATAATTAAATGGCTACTATGGATCAGGCAATGTGCTGATATTTGTACGTCTTATTTAATACTCAACTATTCTTCGAGTAGCTGTCCTTGGCTTACAGAAGTGAAAACAGAGAGGTTAAGTAACACGTCCATGGGCACGCAGCTAGGAATTGGGGAAACTGGTATTCAAACCTGGTTCCATCTGGCTGGGAAGATAAAAACCCCTCCTCTGCTGAGAAGTGGTAACTGATGCTTCCCAGCATCATCTTGCATTAACTGACCAACAGGAAGTTATCTGTTAAGAGCTCTTCTCACACAGCTCTTCTCACTACAGCTTAATATACATCTCGAGGCCCCTCTTAGGACCCTGGCTGAGTCATGGAGCCTGAGCTTTGGAAGCCTCCCCACAACCCACCTAGGTCTCAAAGAAAACAAGTTCTGGGCCGGGCGCGGTGGCTCACACCTGTAATCCCAGCACTTTGGGAGGCCGAGGCGGGTGGATCACGAGGTCGAGAGATCGAGACCATCCTGGTCAACATGGTGAAACCCCGTCTCTACTAAAAATACAAAAAATTAGCTGGGCATGGTGGCGCGTGCCTGTAATCCCAGCTACTCAGGAGGCTGAGGCAGGAGAATTGCCTGAACCCAGGAGGCGGAGGTTGCGGTGAGCCGAGATCGCGCCATTGCACTCCAGCCTGGGTAACAAGACCAAACCTCCGTCCCAAAAAAAAAAAAAAAAAAAAAAACAAGTTCTGAATCCACTGAGGATCCTGGAATCGCAAGAATGAGACCAGAGGACCCAGGACAAACCAGGCAGAGTGCCTGAGAGCCAAGGGCGGAGGGTTATGGAATAGAGGGATGGATACGAGTTTGGCTCAAGGATTAGATGAGGGATTGGAATTCCCACTCTGCCACTGTGTATCCATGGCCAAGTGATTTTACCTCTCTGAGCCTCAGTTTCTGTCAAGGAAGATAACAGTTCTTTCTTTCTTTTTTTTTTTTTTTTTTTTTTTGAGACGGAGTTTCGCTCTTGTTGCCCAGGCTGGAGTGCAATGGCGCGATCTCGGCTCACCACAACCTCCGCCTCCTGGGTTCAGGCAATTCTCCTGCCTCAGCCTCCTGAGTAGCTGGGATTACAGACACGCGCCACCATACCCAGCTAATTTTTTGTATTTTTAGTAGAGACGGGGTTTCACCATGTTGACCAGGATGATCTCGATCTCTCGACCTTGTGATCCACCCTCCTCAGCCTCCCAAAGTGCTGGGATTACAGGCACGTGCCACCATGCCCAGCTAATTTTTTTGTATTTTTAGTAGAGACGGGGTTTCACCATGTTGACCAGGTTGGTCTCGATCTCTCGACCTTGTGATCCACCTGCCTCGGCCTCCCAAAATGCTGGGATTACAGGCTTGAGCCACCGCGCCCGGCCAACAGTTCTTTCTTAATAAATCATACAAAGTGTCCAGCACAATGTCCAGTGTGCCGGAGCAATGAATAAAAAGGTTTCCCTCCTTCCTTTCCTCTCCCAGATGCCTCAGACACCACACCCTGTTGCTTTGCCTACATTGTCCGCCTGCTGCCCCGTGCCCACATCAAGGAGTATTTCTACACCAGTGGCAAGTGCTCCATCCCAGCAGTCGTGTGAGTCTCAGCCCCATGGAGCCCTCCCAGAGCCAGTTCCCTCAGGAGTCCTCTGAGAGGATGCCCTACCCACTCCCACCCAACCTCCAGCTGCAAGCAGCCGCAGCTCCTCCATCTCTAGCCTCAGAGTCCCCTGCTATAATGTAAAAAAGACTAGACAAGCTGTCCTTGTAGAATACCGCCCACTCTGATGGACTACATTCCTAGGACTCCAATCTTTATTAGTGTGGCCTTTACTTGAACGTGGTCTGGAAATCCTACATGGAGAAGATCGAGTCAGTCATCTCCTTCAGTGAAGAACCTTACAGTCCCGTGTTCCACACCCAATCAAATCCACCTAAACCTCAGAGGAACTAGGGAGGAGAGGTCAGAGGTTAGAGATCTAAAATTGTGGTCAAATAAAAAACAAACAAAGAAAAAATCCATTAGAGAAGAAATAAGGAAATGAGATTCACCTTTAAATACCTGAGCTAGTACATTTGGAAAAATACAATAAACCCTACTATATAGGAAGTGCCTACTGTGTGTCAAATGTCTATGTGCATGATCTCTAAATTACACTTAGCTCTGACAAGTATGCCTAATTCTCTCTGTGTTTCAGGTCATGAAAGTAAGATTCAGAGAGGTTTATTGACTTAGCCAAGGCTGCACAGTAAATGAGGGATGAATCTCTAGAGTCTCCTCTTTCTACTATAGCAAAGCCGTTAGTGACAACTGCTTAAGAAATTTATAGCAGAGACTTAAAAATGAAAATAGTACAACCTGAACTTTCCTATATAAGAGTGAAGTTTCCTGTTGATTTGTTTTCGTTTTTGTTTTGAGACATAGTCTTACTCTGTTGTCCAGGCTAGAGTGCCGTGGCACGATCTTGGCTCACTGCAACCTCCGCCTCCCAGGTTCAAGTGATTCTTCTGCCTCAGCCTCCTGAGTAGCTGGGACTACAGGTGTATGCCACCACACCCAGCTAATTTTTGTATTTTTAGTAGAGACAGGGTTTCACCATGTTGGCCAGGATAATCTTAATCTCTTGACCTCGTGATTCGCCTGCCTCCGCCTCCCAAAGTGCTGGGATTACAGGCATGAGCCACCGCGCCCAGCCAGTTTTTGTATTTTTTTGTGGAGACGGGGTTTCATCATGTTGGCCAGGTGATCTTGAACTCCTGAGCTCAAGTGATCAGTCCAGCTCAGCCTCCCAAAGTGCTGGGATTACAGGCATGAGCTACTGCATCCAGCCAGGGTGAAATTTTTTTTGTTTTGTTTTGTTTTGTTTTGTTTTGAGATGGAGTTTCGCTGTTGTTACCCAGGCTGGAGTGCAATGGCGCGATCTCGGCTCACCGCAACCTCCGCCTCCTGGGTTCAGGCAATTCTCCTGCCTCAGCCTCCTGAGTAGCTGGGATTACAGGCACGCGCCACCATGCCCAGCTAATTTTTTGTATTTTTAGTAGAGACGGGGTTTCACCATGTTGACCAGGATGGTCTCGATCTCTCAACCTTGTGATCCACCCGCCTCGGCCTCCCAAAGTGCTGGGATTACAGGCTTGAGCCACCGCGCCCGGCTAGGGTGAAGTTTTTTAATCCAAAACTTGTTATGACACTGCCAGAGTTAGAGGTATTCAAAGACAGACTTTGGGTCTGATGAGTCTTTTGAAGTACAGTGGTAATATTTAGTAACTACTAATTTTATTTCTGAGAACAAATATTTTTCAAAAGAAGAAAATCCTTCCGTTACCACATATTATGAGCAGGCAGGGATTACTAAAGCCACCATGCCGGTCAAATCTTACGGGGCTTATAGTCTAATAAGAGGGCCAAGACAGACACAGCAATGACTACAGCACCCAGCAAAAAAAAAAAAAAAAAAAAAAAACATGACAAGGGAAAGAGAAACACGTTCAGCTTCAGGGATTTACAGGTTTGCTGCAAATTGTGCTTTCTGAGGAGAGATTTGGCCCAGCAGAGAAAAGCCTGGGGGATGTGATATATCAGGAAGAGGGACTGTACCCCAGGATTCTACTTTAGTTTATGTAGGGTCTCCATGTAGGAAAACACAGAGGGCTTTGAGTGTCAGGAAAACGCCGCAAAAGTGCTAGAGCTGTCAAGTGTAAAATGAGCTAGAACAGGGAAAGCTGAGAAAACAGGAGTCCAGTTTTGAGGCTCCTGTCATTACCATGTGAGTAGTATCGGAGGCTGAACAGTGCCTGAAGGAAAGGAGAGACCGTTTCAAAGACAGACGCCTTTGCAACCTTCAAAGGTGGAATTTGCAAGCCTAGTAGGTGATTTGAGGTCAAGAGCAAGGGAGAGAGATGGGGCTTGAGGATGACCCTGAGGTTTCAACCTCTGGCTGGAGAAGTGTAGAACCACCTTAAGCCTGCAAAAGAGCTGTTTAAAGAGGGAAAGCTAAGGTACCGGCAAGGTAATGCTGTGGATATGTCCAGTGGTAATGGTGAAATGAAGGGTTGGTAGGTGAGGAAAGGGTGTTAGCGCTAAAAATGTGACATTCTTTTTTTTTTTTTTTTTTTTTTTTTGAGACGGAGTTTCACTCTTGTTACCCAGGCTGGAGTGCAATGGCGCGATCTCGGCTCACCGCAACCTCCGCCTCCTGGGTTCAGGCAATTCTCCTGCCTCAGCCTCCTGAGTAGCTGGGATTACAGGCACGCGCCACCACGCCCAGCTAATTTTTTGTATTTTTAGTAGAGACGGGGTTTCACCATGTTGATCAGGATGGTCTCGATCTTTTGACCTCATGATCCACCCGCTTCGGCCTCCCAAAGTGCTGGGATTACAGGCTTGAGCCACCGCGCCCGGCCTGTGACATTCTTTTGTAGGAAAAAGGCATATCCCAGCCTGCCTTGGTGAGTACTGGCTAATTTGCTTTGTTAGGACTCCAGCTATGACACTTGGTGAGTGTAGGCCCTTCAGTTAACCCCTCAGCACCCCAATTTCCTCATCTATAAATAGGGTAATAGAATTATCTCCCACTGGGTCACAGTAAGAAAAAAATGCTTAGAATATGCCCTGGCACACAGTAGGTGCATAAGTGTTAACTTAGTATTATCATCATTATCTAAATGCATTATTGCAGACACAAAAGTAATGGCTGAAATTTAACAAATGAATGCAATCCGTTCATTTACTTACTCATTTAATAAATATCCATTAAGCATCAACTGGGTGCCAGGCCCAGGGCCAGAGACCTAGGAAAAAACACAAAGAAGAGAAAAGAGCAGCAACTTTGAGAACATCCTCTCTTCAGGGGCAGGCAGAAGGAGGAAGTCAGGCAAGCAGAGGGTGCCAAAAATTGGGGCAAGGAGGGAAGACTTAGCAAGGAGGGCTGTTCTTTGACATCACAATCGGCAGGGCTGCGGCTGGGGGCAGGAAATGGAGGCCTGGGGTACCCTCACCTCAGGTATTTGTTTCCTGGCCTTTTGACTTCCTAGCCACAGGTCAAGGATGCCAAAGAGAGAGGATAGCAAGGCTGGCAGGATTTCCTGTATGACTCAGCTGAACAAGGCAGGGTCTGTGTCTGAAACTCTCACACCACCCGAAATAAGAACGCAAACGCTAGGAAGCATGAGAGCCCAGAATACCTCTTCCTTTTCCTTTCTCATCTCTGCACATGAGAGAAAAAGAGATGGTCAAGGGGCTCTGAGTGAAGCTCAGAAAAGGGAAACCCAAAGAGAAACAAGAAATCCTTGTTCTCATCAGACAATCTAAGCCTTCACTTTGTCTGAAAACATTTAGGCTCAAGAATGCGCAGGATACATCCAAAAATGGTTAAGATGGTAAATTTTATGTTATAAATATTTTACCACGATAAAAAAAAAATTAATGCTGTTAGGCACAGAATCAAAGTCTCACATTGCTCTCACCCACCCTAGAGCAGAAGTTTTAGAGCATTCTAGTAACAACACATGAATGGTATTTTTCAAACTGTATTCATTCATACTTATTATCCTTTGAGCTTCACAGTAATTGTGCAAAGAATTATTTCTATCTACATTTCAGAGCTTAGTAAATGGACTCAAAGGTGTTACGTGATTTGCCCAAAATGATCAAAGTAATAAATGGCGAAATAACACTCAAGGTCATGCCCTTTTTTCATTCACCTACCCATGCATAGATATATTCATGTATTCATTTGTTCAGTGTGCCAGGTGTGTTGTCTGAAGATGTTCTTTTTTTTTTTTTTTTTTGAGATGGAGTTTTGCTCTTGTTGCCCAGACTAGAGTGCAGTGGCATGATCTCAGCTCACTGCATCCTCCGCCTCCCAGGTTCAAGCGATTCTCCTGCCTCAGCTTCCCAAGTAGCTGGGAGTAGAGGCACCTGCCACCATGCCCAGCTAATTTTTGTGTTTTTAGTAAAGATGGGGTTTCACCATGTTGGCCAGGCTGGTCTGGAACTTCTGACCTCATGATCTGCTCACCTCAGCCTCCCAAAGTGCTAGGATTACAAGCATCAGCCACTGCACCCCGCCCAGATATTATTTTAAGAACTTATCATCTCCCACTTACTCAGCCATGATTCAGTTCTTGAGGGACACGTTATTCTCTCTGCATCTTAAGCATTCAGCATAGGGCCTGGAACAGAGGAAGTGCTGAGGAAAGGCTAGTGGTTGGCAGGCTCAATCCTGGGTTTCAAGGCTTCATATTCTCTTAGCTTTTCAGGCTGCATGTATTTGTGTAAAGGTGGGTAAAATGCACACAAATTTATTTCTGGCTTGGAGCCCTTTGATCCAGCAAAAGAGAAAATGTCCTCTCCTTAAAAGCCACAAATAAAATCTTATGGAGCTCCAAATATGCCCTACCCCAGCACCATTGTCCTCTCCCTTTATACCTTAATCTACTTCATCCCCTAAACTGGCTGTCCCAGTACTGGCAAGATCTCATCCTCCCTCTTCTCCTCTCCCACAGCTTTGTCACCCGAAAGAACCGCCAGGTGTGTGCCAACCCAGAGAAGAAATGGGTTCGGGAATACATCAACTCTTTGGAGATGAGCTAGGATGGAGCGCCCTTGAATCTGAACTGCTTGCTGCTTGCTCTTGTCCTAGCTTGGGAGGCTTCCCCTTGCTATTCTACCCTATGCCCTCCTTGGAGTGCCCAGATTCTACCGCACAGCAGCAGTTATAAAAGCCTTCCTCAGGCTGGGCACAGTGGCTCATGCCTGTAATCCCAGCACTTCGGGAGGCTAAGGTGGGTGGATCACTTGAGGTCAGGAGTTCGAGACCAACCTGGCCAACATGGTGAAACGCCATCTCTACTAAAAATACAAAAATTAGCTGGGCATGGTAGTGTGTGCCTGTAATCTTAGCTACTTGAGAGGCTGAGGCAGGAGAATCATTTGAACCCAAGAGTTTGAGGCTGTAGTGAGCTGAGATTGCACCACTGCACTTTAGCCTGGTGACAGAGCAAAACTCCGTCACCAAAAAAAAAAAAAAAAAAAAAAAAGCCTCCCCCATCTAAAGCCTAGAAGAGCTTCCGAGGCACTGCTTTGTTGAAAGGAAGTCTCCAGGTTCCGAGCTCTGAAGACCCTTAGCTTCGCCATGGCTCTGTGACCAGGAAGGAAGTCAATGTGCCTCTAGAAGCAAGGAGGGAAAGAAGTCCGCGCTCCGAAGCTTCCATCTCCACCCCTCACAGGAGCTTACTGAAAAACATGAAAAATCAGCTTTCCATTAAACTTCTCAATGCAACTACAAAGCTGGCTCTTGGTTTGCTTTCCTCCTCGGGAACTCTCCTTCCCATGAGCATTAAGCACACAGGGGTTCAAGGCTTGCAAACACCTGATGTCCATCCTAGATTTAGATGACACAACTGAAAACAAAAGCTCTCTGCGAAGGAGGCATCCGTGGGCAGAGCCATTAAACTAACCAGTGACTTACCGACTCTGGAGGGCGAGACGGGACAATAGTCACTACATCCAATCTCCTGGGTCCCCCAGAGTTTATCTTACTGCCTGCCACAGCGCCTCCCTGTTGCCTCAGACCTTGCTTGGCCCTTCCTCCCTAGCCTACCCTCCACCTTATCCCCAGTGGATTTCTTTAACACCACCCTTGCCCCTGGAATGGGATTTAATGGCAATTCCAAATGCCTCAAGTCTTTCAAATAAGGAGAATGAGGTATTTCGTGGTTTTCCACAAGTACACCAGCTCCTTTAAGGTGGGACATTCCAACTCTCCCATGCGTGTCCCTTTATGTAAACATATATTGACAATATATATGGTCATAATAATAGTTAACATTAACTGCACACTCACTATGTGCCAGACATTGGCTCAGCCCCTTACATTCATCGTTCTTTTTCATCCTTATAACCCTGTGGGGTTAGCTACAGTTATTAACCCCGTTTATAGTCAGGAAAACCCTTGGCAAGAGAGAGAAATGATTTGCCCAAAGCCCCACAGCGCAAAGAAAAATAAAGCAGGTGACAAAGATTTACAATTAAGTTTAAACCCATCAGGTCTAATGCCAAAATCCATGCTTTTCGTTCCCACTCTTAATTTGCCAAATTCCAACCCTATGGAAATTTGCAAGAATACCCTTCATCTAGATTCAAATATTAACATTTTACCACATTTGCTTTACCTATGTGTGTGGGGGCAGGATGTGGTCAGTATATACGTTTTTTTCTGAACCACTTGAGAGTAAGTTGCAAATGTGATATCATATCACCCTTAAAAGTGTCAGGATGTATCCACTAATAACAAGGACATTATATATAACCAAAAAATCCATCCCATACTAAGGAAACTTAACAGTGACAATACAGTCTATAATCAAATTCCTCTGATTGTCCCAATAATGCCCTTTATAGCTATTTTTTAAAATCCAGGATCCAATTAAGTACACACTGAATTTAGCTATCATGTGTTTCTTCTTCTTTTTTTATTTTTAGACAAGATCTCACTCTGTCACCCAGGCTAGAGTGCAGTGTGGTGTGATCACCTCAACATCCTGGGTTCAAACAATCCTCCTGAGTAAGCTGGAACCACAGGCGCACATTATCACGTTCGGTTAATTTTTTATTTTTTTATTTTTTTATTTTTTATTTTTTTTGAGACGGAGTTTCGCTCTTGTTACCCAGGCTGGAGTGCAATGGCGCGATCTCGGCTCACCACCACCTCCGCCTCCTGGGTGCAGGCAATTCTCCTGCCTCAGCCTCCTGAGTAGCTGGGATTACAGGCACGCGCCACCACACCCAGCTAATTTTTTGTATTTTTTTAGTAGAGACAGGGTTTCACCATGTTGACCAGGATGGTCTCGATCTCTTGACCTCGTGATCCACCCACCTCGGCCTCCCAAAGTGCTGGGATTACAGGCTTGAGCCACTGCGCCCAGCCTTAATTTTTTAAAATATTTTGAGAGACAATGGTTTCACCATGTTGCCCAGGCTGATTTTGAATTCCTGGGCTCAAGCCATCCTCCTGCCTTGGCCTCCCAGAATGGTGAGATTACAGGCATGAGCCACCGTGCCCAGCCAGTCATGCTGCTGCTGCTGCTTTTTTTTTTTTTTTTTTTTTTTTTTTTTGAGAGGGAGTCTCAATCTATCACCTGGCTGGAGTGCTGTGACTCATTGCAACCACCAACTCCCTGGTTCAGGCAATTCTCCTGCCTCAGCCTCCTGAGTAGCTGGGATTACAGGCACGTGCCACCACACCCAGCTAATTTTTGTATTTTTAGTTAGAGACAGGGTTTCACCATGTTGGCCAGGATGGTCTCGATCTCCTGACCTCGTGATCCACCTGTCTCGGCCTCCCAAAGTGCTGGGATGACAGGCGTGAGCCACTAGTCATGCTTTTTCGTGTCCTTTAATATATACTTTCTTGTCTTTAAGGACATTGATACTATTTAGGAGTTGTGATCAGATTTTTATAGACTATTTTCTCTAAATTGTCTTGATTTGCCTGATTCTTTAATTAGATTCAGGTTAAACATTTTTGGTAGGAATACCACACAGATGATGTCTTTCCTGGTGCGGCTCATCAGAGCACATGTCGTCAGTGTACCGGTGATGTTAAGCCTGATGACTTGGTGGCCCATGTTTTCTTGCTGCCTGTGGTGTGCCAGGCACTATGATAGGCACTGGGGTGGAGAAAGAGAGGACTGAGGAGTGGGGAGTAAAATTAGAGGGGTGAGTAGGCCACAAACCACAATCTTTCCTTTGGGCAGCTCATAGTCCAATAAGGAAGGCAGACCTATGAACAGATTCTACATATGAAAAACACTGAAAGCAAAATGTACAAAAAAGCTGTGGTCATGCTGTGGGGAGAGGAAATTGCATCACTGAGTGGGGTGGGGCAGGAACCCTGCGGGAGAAAAAAGACTTCAGTGGTGAGATAACATTTGAGTGGACTTTTTAAAAGATCTGTGTGACAATTTAACACGTTTAAAAGGAAAAAGACTGACAGGTAGAGGGACTAGCATATGCAAAAGTAAGAGGTATGAAAGGCAGCTCCTGCATCAGGTCAAATAGCTAATGCATGCTGGGTGTAACACTTAGGGACGGCAAACCACCATGGCACACATTTACCATTTATCTATGCAACAAACCTGTACATTCTGCGCATGTATCCTGGAACTTAAAGTAAAATAAAATAAAGTTTAGGCCGGGCGCGGTGGCTCAAGCCTGTAATCCCAGCACTTTGGGAGGTCGAGGTGGGTGGATCACGAGGTCAAGAGATCGAGACCATCCTGGTCAACATGGTGAAACCCCGTCTCTACTAATGGTGCAAAAAATTAGCTGAGCATGGTGGTGCGTGCCCGTAATCCCAGCTACTCCGGAGGCTGAGGCAGGAGAATTGCCTGAACCCAGGAGGCGGAGGTTGCGGTGAGCCGAGATCGTGCCATTGCACTCCAGCCTGGGTAACAAGGGCGAAACTCCGTCTCAAAATAAATAAATAAATAAATAAATAAATAAATAAATAAAGTTTAAAAAAATAAAACAGCTCCTTACCACATAGATAAGAGTTTGGTCTTTTGCTGCCAAAGATGGCAAGGGGATGTATATAAAAGGGACTTTCTGGGGCCGGGTGCAGTGGCTCATGCCTGTAATGCCAGCATGTTGGGAGGCCAAGGCAGGCAGATCACCTGAGATCAGAAGTTTGAGACCAAACTGGCACACATGGTGAAACCCTGCCTACTAAAAATACAAAAAATTAGCCCAGCACGATGGCATGTACCTGTTGTCCCAACTATTTGGGAGGCTGAAGCAGGAGAAGTGCTTGAATCCGGGAGGCAGAGAGTGTAGTGAGCCAAGATCACGCCACTGTGCTTTAGTCTGGGAGACAGAACAAAACTCCCTCTCAAAAAATGAAAAAAAAAAAAAAATTTTTTTTTTTTTAAAAAGGGACTTTCCCATCCCTGACATTTTCCTTATGACTAATCCTAAAAACAATTCCTGATCCTAACATGGGCTTATTTGAGCTTGACAGTTCACCACATGGTTTGACTTTCTTCTCCAGTTTATGCCTCACCACAGGCTCTCCAGTTAAGCCAGGCAGGCATGACTTTCCTACTTTTCCAGGGAGGAAACGGAAGCTCAGAAAGTAATGTGACTAGCTCAAGTCCGCAGGCCAGTAGATGCCAGAGCTGGGGCTCAGAAATGCAACCTGAGTGTTCTATTTACCAAAGTAACCCGGTTGCTTAGCACTTAGAAGCTTCTAACCTCCAGAAGTCCAGACACCTCACCTGTACGTTTGCACCAGAGGACAGGTCTCCTCCAGCTGTGCCCCGACTCCCCTGAAAGCCTTGTATTCCCTGCTGCAGATTCCCTCTGGCCCCACCAGGAGAAGATGACCTGTGAAAAATTAACTGATATCTTTGATGTCTCCAGGTCAATGTTCCGGTACCCATGGCTGGAATATCCAGACAGGACCACAGGTGAGGCTGGGAAGGACAGAAATGGAGCCAGGAGCAGGAGCCTGAAAAAGAAATGCCACCTGGCTCCTCCTCCCAGGAATGGATCTAGGTGAGTTCGGCAATCCCAAGGGAAACATCAGGGCAGGCGCTTAGACACTGATGGCTCCGCACAGTCCTCAAGGTAAGTCTCAGGCTCCTCAGCAGGGCCCTCTAAGACGGGGCACTTGTGTGTCTCCCTGGCTTCTGCCTCCACACCTGCACCCTGCTGCTCTTTACCCTCAACTCTCATGCCTCCAAATCTTTGCATAGAGTGTTCCCTGTGACTAATGCTCTTCCTCCTTAACTATCTGGCTAGCTCCTGTTTGTATTGAAGACTCAGCTTGTGCAGTTTCCTCTAGAAAACTTTCCCTGATCCTTCCAGCCAGGTTAGGTACCTGTCATGTGTACCACCTGTGTCTACATCTATCTTCACATTTGTTTCCCTCTGTTAATCACTAAGAAACACTTCTGCCTCTCCAGCTGGAACAGTGGTCCTCAAAACATGATCCCATGACCAGCAGCATCAGCATCTTGTTAGAAATGCAAATTCTCAGCCAGGCACGGTGGCTCACGCCTGTAATCCCAGCACTTTGGGAGGCCAAGAGTTTCAAGTGAAACTCTTGGTCTCAAGTGATCAAGCAGGGGCAGATCACTTGAGACCCAGAGTTTAAGACTAGCCTGGCCAACATGGTGAAAGCCCATCTCTACTAAAATTACAAAAATGAGCTGGGTGTGGTGGCACACACCTGTAATCCCAGCTACTTGGGAGGCTGAGGTAGGAGAACCACGTGAACCTTGGAGGT